AAGCTGCTCCCCCCACCGCCAGCGCCGCCAGCCCCGCCGTCCAGGCGCCCGGGCCCTGTCCCTTGTGCCCCGCCCGCCTACGCGCACCGCGCGCCAGCCTGCGACAGCGAGGGCGAGGGCGGTAGCGGCCGCAGCAAGGCGTCACTGGCCACCGTCCGCCAGGACCTGGCCATCTAGCGGCGGGCACTGCCTTGAGCAGACAGTGAGGTCAGGGGCACGAGCGCGTCACCTGGGCCCTCACCGAAGAAGCGAGAAAGGGCTCTGCAAGCACTGTTGCCGGCCCCAGCAGGAGACGGTGGGCTGGCCCGCACCTCGCCGCTGCTCCCAGCTGCCTCAGGCAGCAGCCGTGCCCAGCCGTGCTGGGGCGCAGAATGAGCTAAGGCCGGCCCTTAGCTGATCCCGGTGGAAAGGAGGAGACCTGGCCCTGAGACAGTGACAAGAGGTGGACAGAGCGGAGTGGAAGGCAGAGGGCAGTTGATGACCTGGTGGTCTTACTGAGGAGGAGAACCGGGAGGCCAGCATTCCCAGGCACTATCCCGGTTCAGAGTAGCCTCTGCGGGTTCTCTGAGTGTGCACACGCGTAGGCATGTATACACTGAGCTGTGTGTGCACAGGCAAGCTCTGTGTGAGCGCTGTGTGTGTGCATGCATACATGTGTATCCGTGTGCACTGTGTCCTGTGCATGCACATGTTTTTCACGTGAACACGGGTGTGTCTGTGATCTGATAGGCACCACTGGGTGCCAGCAACCACTGCAGTGGCTCCTACCCTAACCCAGACCGGCTGCGAGGTCCCACCTCCCACAGGGAGGTCTCCTGGAGGGAGAGGCTGCAGAGGAAGGGATGAGGGAGGCACCCTTCACAGCGCAGCCTGCAGTCCCCACAGCAGGGCCAGGTGCACCTTTGGTGAGGCAGAGTGGGAGTGGCCCTGGCCCAGAGGCCAGGATACAGAGCGGTTATATTCTTCTCTCTTCCTGGCTCTCCCTCCCACTGCGCTGCTGTGCCCCGCCTATAACCATGGTTGTCTCGTTCATCCTCAGGGGAGACCACCCTAAAAATTGGTGTGATCCTGGCCCTGCATCCCCTCCCCACCAAGGCATTCAAAAAACCTGCACACTGCCCCACGTAGTGACCCTGCCACCGTCTCTCTCTGTCCTCCTTCACCACCCCATGAGACCCTAAGTGACAAACCCAGGGGATGCCATCTGACCATACCTGCGTGGGCTTCGTGGAGCTCTACCTCGACCAACCCTGCCCCACGTCCTCCTGTGGCCCTGGCATCCCACTCTGTCCTTTCGTGTGCTCGTCAGCTTCAGTTGTCCCCTAGTACTCCCCAGCCAGCAGAGGGCCTTCTGAAAAGCCCCCACGAAAGCCTTTGGGTGCCCCCCGCCTCAGGGTGAGCCCAGCACCTTGCAGAGGCTTCCACGCCCAGTGCTGTCTGACCCTGCTGGTCAGGCCTCCAGCTTCCCTGTGTCTCTGCTCCAAACCACACCGAATTGTCTACTGAGAAACACCAGGCCTGGGCCTAGCAGGTGGTGTGGTGGTCAAGGTGTTAGATTCTCATATGGCTGACCGCGGTTGGAGTCCCAGACCTGGTGGCTTGCTTTCTCACTTTCCCTCTCTCTCTGGTCAAATTAAAAAATAATAAATTAAATAATTATTTTTAAAAGAAGAAGAAGAAGCACTAGGCCCACTGTTGTTTCCAAGCTGCTCCCTTGCCTGGAACAGCCTCCCTTTCTCTGCAGCTTCCACCACCCCTAGCCAATATTACCCCCACCCCAAGTCAGAGCTCAAGGCCCCACCTCGTGCTTCCCCAGGGAGAATGCTACTCACTGGTGGCATGGCTGTCTTCTGCCCCTGGCACATTGTTTTATAAATGCGTGCTTGGGGGACCAGCAGGTGGCATGGTGGTTAAGGCGCTGGACACTCCCACATAGCTGACCAGGGTTCCAGTCCCGGACCTGGTGGCTTGCTATCTCACTTTCCATCTCTCTCTCTCTCTCTCTCTCTTTGGTCAAATTAAAATAAATGAATGAATAAATAAAAATAAATAAATTTAAAAAAATAAATAAAAATAAATGCGTGCTTGGATGAGAAGCTGAAGGTGTCCCGGGGCCAGGCTGTCTCCATGCTCCAGCGCTTACCCAGGCTCACAGTGGGCACCCACCTCTGAGGATGGTCAGTTCTAAGTCTGCTGCCTGGACTCTCCCCACACAAACTCAGAGGCTGGTGTCCAGCTGTTCTGCAGGTATATTCATCCAACAAACGTTTGCTGAAAACCTACTATATGTCAGTGTTCAAGATCAGCATCGTCCCACAGAAATAGGAGGTGGGTCAACACGCAGTTTCAAGTTTTCCATCAGGAAGGAAGCAGGCAACACTAATGTTAGTATATACACGTTTTCCTCCTTTTAAAGTCGATTTCTCCCATGAGTCAGAGAGACAGAGAAAAGGAGAGAGAGACAGAACAAGACAGAGACAGAAAGCACCCCAACAAGGTCTTTATTTATTTATTTATTTATTTATTTATAAAGGTTTTGGTTATAGGGCACATGCGCTTGTTGGACAGACACAGAGAAACAGAGAGACAGTGAGAAATCACCCCCAGGGGGGATGGCTGCGCTGAAAGAGCCCAAGAGGAGAATGGAAGAGAAGGGATTGCGGCATGGCCACTCCCCCTGAGGAGGTGACTTCTCTCATCATTTTCTGTCTTTCTGTCTCTCCTTTTTTTTTGTTCTCCCCGCAAAAAGAGCAACAGTGACGAAAAAAAAAAAAAAAAAAAAAAAAAAAAACTCTTGCCAGAAAAAAAGTTCATGGAGAATGGAATGACAGTATCAGCTTACTTACTGGGGCCAGCAGGTGGCGTAGTGGTCAAGACGCTGGACTCCCAAACTGCGAACCACAGTTTGAATCCTGGACCTGGAGGTTTGCTTTCTTATTTTCCTTCTCTCTCTCTCTCCTTCCATCTCTCTCTGCTCAAATTTTTAAATAATAATAAATAAATAAAATTAAATAAATAACTTTTTTAAGTATCAGTTTATTTTAGTGCAAAGACACTTTGAAATTCATGCATACTTGAACTCATGTGCATGGTTTTTTCATAATACATATTTTCTATGGACTCTTTGAAGACCACCCTCCCCATGGATCAAAGCAGATCTCGATGTTGGGCTGCTGTGTGGACACCCGCCCCCACGGAAGCACGTGGCAGGGGAGATGGTCATAAGCAGGTGCAGAAGGTATGTCCGGTAACGGTAAGAGGAGAGTGATGTCTGTGAGAGGGTGACACACAGCAAGCGGCTGGCTGGGAGGGAGAGCATTTCCGTGGAGGGAAGGGCAAGTGCGAAGGGCTGAGACAGAAGAGCGCTGGGGGGTGCGAGGCCAGCAAGGAGGAGGGTGTGGCCAGGGGCTGAGGGCGGGGCCTAACGCAGCCTCTAACGCACCTCCTTCCATAGTGCCTCCCCTGCCTCCCTGGAGCCCCGGACTGTCCTTGGCCGGTTCTACTTCTCATCCTCTCCCTTACCCACTCTTCTCCACCCTTCCAAGGCTGCCAGGGCCAGCCCCATCCCCAGTGGGCTCTGCGCCTGCCCCCCACCCCAGTTCCCATCAGAATGCGCCCCCTGTTCGTTCAAAACTCTCCACTCTTCTTGCCCTTGGGATCGGATCCAGTTCTTGAACTGGTTTTGACCTGAGCCCAGTTCAGCATCCACAGCCTCACCTCTCCCAGCCATTCCAGTCAAACACGGAAGTGGTTGGGGCTGGCAGGTGGCGCGGTGGTTAAGGGTGCTGGACACCCACATGGCCAACAGCAGTTTGAATCCTGGACTTGGCAGCTTGGTTCCTCACTTTCTCTCTCTCTCTCTCTCAGGTCCCTCTCTGGTCACCTTTAAAAAAGGTAAATAAATAAAGGTAAATAATTGTTTTTTTCTTGAGAGGTTTTTGCTATAGGGCTCCTGCGTTCTCCAGAAAGACAGAGTCACAGACAGAAAGCGAGAAACCACCCCCCAGGGGGGATGGCCTCACCGCAATCCCTTCTCCTCCATTCTCCTCTCAGGATCTTGGGCTTGCACGCACACATGCCCGGCGTGAGTTTAAGCCACCGGGTCCAGGACTTGAATAACGGTCGGCTACGTGGGAGTCCAGCGACATAGCCATTATGCTCCCTGCTGGTCCCAATAAAATAATTCTTTAAAAAAAATAAAAGGGAACCAGCAGTTAGCGTAATGGCTATGTCGCTGGACTCCCACGTAGTCAACCACGGTTTGCGTCCCGGACCCGGTGGCTTAAAACTCACGCCGGGCGCACGTGTGTACGTCCCCAAGATCCCGAGAGAGGAGAATAGAGGAGAAGGGATTGTGGCGTGGCCAGTCCCCCTGGGGGGGGATTTCTCGCAGTCTCTATGTCTCTCTCTGTCTGGCGAGAGCACACGCCCTATAGCGAAAAAAAAAAAAAAAGAAAAGAAACAACAACAACAAAACAGAAGTGGTCAAACACAGAGTGGACCATTTCTTTTTATCTTTTAAATTTGCCAGAGGGTGCATGCACTCACCAGAGAGGGACAGAGAGAGAAAGAAGTAGAAAGCATTCCTTGTGGGGGATGGTCACTCTGCAAGCCCTTCTCTTCCATCGCTTCCTCCTTCCAAGGCTTTGGGCACACACACACACTCGCACACTCACACACACACGTGCCCAGCCACCAGGTCCAGTCCTTAAACCACGCAGTCAGCTAAGTGGGATCGGGGTCTCACCCACCACAACACCAGCAGGCCCTGGTTGTTCGTTTCTGATCATGCAAAACTATTTACCACCTCTGCACCACACTGGGTTAGTTCCATTAGAAATCTGAGAGGGCCCACCTCCTCCAGGAAGGCTTCAGAGCATTGCCAAAGGCCTGGTGAAATAGCTCTGCCCTGTACTCCTGCAGACCTGTGCAAGGCCCACTGGCCACCTTCCCCAGACTGTATCCTAGTCACATGGTCTCGGTTAGTCTCCCTGTGCAGGATGGGTCCAGGCTCAGACGGAAGCTGCAGAAACATTGGGCAATGTCTGGGGACATGCTCGGTTGTCACAGCTATGAGGAAGTTACCTCCGGCACCTAGTGAGTAAAGGTGGAGGACGCTGCTAACATCGTACAACGCGCAGGACAACCTCCCAGGGCAAAGAGGCACCTGGCCCCGGATGTCACTGTGCTGAAGGCGAGAAATTCTGCTTACAGTGGCGATCTGCAGGCCAGCAGGTGGCATGGTGGTTAAGGCACTGGACTCCCACATGACCGATCACAGTTCAAGTCCTGGACCTGGTGACTTGCTTTCTCTCTAGTCAAATTAAATATTTCTTTCAAAATATCAAAATACAGTATATAGCACTTACCTTAATTTCTTCTTTATAATACAACTGTGGTAGCATATTGATTTCCAAAGGCATGTTAAGCGAATTTCATTTCACATTAGTACAGGCGTTAGAAAGTATTTACTAAAGGAGCCGCACCTCTTCCAGCCTGGGAGAGATGGCAAATTAAGTGAGGAGCTGCTGCCACCTGGTGGCTGAAGTGAAAAGTAGCAATGGCCAGCAGCCCCAGTGGAAGGAACCCCTGCCTCTCCCTATGGAAGGGTCCAGTTTTCCCTCCCCAACCGAAGAAGCTTGACACTTCTGGGCTTTTAGGATCTGGGAAAGCGTTTTCGGCTGACAGGTGGATCCCTGATCTAACTTGCTGTGTGACTCTGGGCAAAGAAACTGCCCTCTCTGTGCTGTGGTCTGGCGTGAGGAATTAAGGGCCCTCAGGGCCTGCACACACTCCCCTTGACCAGCAGTATCTAGGTCCTCCTGCGACCTGTCCTCTGTGCCTCCTGTCCATGAGTGGCCTTAGGATGGGCGAGGGAGGGCAGGACAGTCCTTGGAGGCAGAGACAGGGCTGGCCTCCTAAGCGTCTGTGCAAATCCCGCGCTCGTTCAGTTGACGTGAGGTCCTGGCCCCGGCTCCCATGCCACCTGCCACTTGTGCTGTGAAGGTCAAGTCTGTGGTCACTCCCAAAATAGAACTCTGCAACACAGCCCCAGCCCTTGCCTGGCTTCCCAAAGACCAGGGACTCTGAGGTAGGGATGGATCCTCCCTCAGCCCTGGGGTTCCCTGAGGGCAGGGGCAGCTTTTCCTTCTCCCTCCTCCCCAGACTGCGGCTCCTGATACGGACAGTGTAGACCCCCCAGGCCGAGGGCTTTGCAAGGGCAGGCCTGTCTCCTTCCTCAAGTCCCCCCTGAGCCCCCAGCACTGCAAAGCAGGCTTTGGTGGGCAGCGTAGCAGAGGGTACACTGGCCAATCACCGGGCCCAGGCTTGCTCTGAGTCTGCGGGGAAGCCCCCATCCCAAGCCCCTTGCCCAGACACCGAGAGAAGGGGGCGGAGGCAGCGAGGCTCTGAAGCATGCATAGAATAAATAGAACTTTATTCTTTATCCAGTAGATCTCAGTGGGAAGTCCAACAGTAACAGGTGCACCAGCGGGCTCCAGGGGCAAAGACCCCAACCCTGGGGCAAGGTCAGGGCAGAGCCAGCTTCCCAGCCCCAGGGTGCAGGGGTGAGAGAGGACCCCCTGCAGGCCCGTCCTGCGGGGCAAGGAGGGGGCCCAGGTGTGGGGCAGGCAGGGTGGCGGGCAGACCAAGATGGAGGGATTCAGGCCGAGGGTGTCTGTCGGTGTCCACTGTCCACTGTGCATGTGTGTGTGCGTGTGTGTCTGTGTGCCTGGGGGCCCTGTGGGGGTGCTGGTGGCTGTGAGGCTGGGGGCAGGGGTGGCTTGGACGCCTTGGCTGGCCCCTTCACAGTAGGGCAGGGGCTGGCCTAGAGTGGCCTGGTGGTGGCAGCACTGTCCCACTGAGCACAGGGTCAGGGCATACTGTGTCCAAGGGACCCTGCCTTGTCCCTGCCCCACGTCCCACAACGAGCGGAGGCAGGTGCCAAAGGCCAGGAGTCCCCTCCTTCTAGGGGCGGCCAGAAGCTGTCCACGCCCAGTGGTTAGGCAGAGGGAGAAGGGGGCCGGCTGCTTCCCTGGCATGGAGGGGAAGGCAGACCTTGGAAAGTTAGTAGTTCACAGTTCGAAAGAGAAAACTGAGGAGAAAAGGCTGAGGAGGGCTGGGGGCACAGGGACATGGAGGGAGAGCGGGAGCCCCTCCCAAGCCACTCCCCTCCCTCAGAGCCCACCCCTCCAGCCCTGGATCCAGCTCCCCCCAATACACAGCACAGATTCCTTCAGTATAAATGTGATTAAAATGAAAATTCTTATTAAAAAAAATCAAAACCAAAAAAAAAAAAATTAAAATAAAAACAAAACCAGCGAGAATTAATACCTGGGGGTTGGTACGGCAGGGTATGTACAGGGGGAGCCCCCCACCCCGGCCCACCCCCTCTGTCACCAACCAAGGCAGGGGGGAAGGTTCCCCAGAATTGGGGAGCAATGGCTTGCAAGTTCTGAGGATGGGGAGCCAGGTCCTGGCATTTGCTGGTGATGAAGATGTGGCGAGGTGAGCAGAGGGGTGTCTGGATGAACACGAGGCCCCCCAGCCCCATCCTGAGGCCCAGACCAGGGGTCCTCACTCAGTTCACGGCCCTGCCCGACATCAGCCCAGGCTGCAGGGTGGGCAGTCCATCATGGCTCAGGCTGTCCAAGAAGTCTCTGCCTTTCTTCCTGTCCCCCAGGGAAGGTGCCCAGTTCTGTCTGGGAGGACAGGTGGGGGCAGGGCTGGTGGGGGCACATGGCTGGTAAAGGTGGAGAAAAGCCGGGACAGGGGGCGCGGGCTGTGTCCACGTGGTGCGGGCGGTCACGGGGAGTGGGTGGCCGGGCTGCTTCTGTTGGAGCTGGGGCTGAGGCTGGGGCAGCAGCTGCCGGGCGGAGGGGCCAGGCCACCTCCGTCCCGCCCCCCGCCCCCCGGCTGTCCGCTCAGAGTGTCCAGGCCTTCTGAGTTCTCCAGCATTTCCTGGATGAGAGGTGGCATGGAACCCGGGATCTCCATCTTCAGCGTAATCACCCGCTCGGCCCCTGCAGGAGAGGAGGGCGGAGGTCAGTGCGCCGGCGCGTTCCCCAGGCCCTGGCGATCCTGGCTGGGGTGGGAGGATAAATGCCAGCACCGGCAAGTGCCGTGCCCTGAACTGCACTGAGTTCGGGAGTCAGCTCTTTGAGGTAGGTCGGCTCTCTCGGCCCCCCTGCACCGGGCTTGAGCCAGTGGAAAAGGCGGTTCCGACTCTGGCTCCGATCACGCCACCTGCCTGGGCACGTCCTCTATGCTGTGTGCTACCTCGGTAAACGCTACCGTCACCCTCGCTCTGCAGAGGCGCCGAGCTGTCAAGGGACCTGCTCGGGTCACACACCCACGCAGCCTGGTTCCAGACCACGCCCTGACCCTGTAAGGCCACCTCAGAACCCACAGGAATGGGCATGGCGGGGTTCTGCCGACCTCAGCCCAGACACAGATGAGGACAAGTAGGGACCACGTGAATGGGGCATCATCCTGGCGCAAAGACCTGAGGGACCGGCATGGACGCTGGTGCTGGGCCAGGGGGCAGCCCCCCAGGTCGGGAGTCTCACCCTTAGCACTGATGCTACGCAGGTCCGTGATCTTCATCAGCATCTTGGGAAACATGTGGGGGCGGCTGGGCCTCCGCTTCCGTACGTAGACCTTGAGCGCCTCCAGCAGCGGCTCCTGCAGCATGTCCACCCTGTCCGGCTGTTCCAGGTCCTGCCGGTCTGAGGAAGCCAAGAGCAAACCCCTGAGCAGCTGCCAAGCTGGGAAGCCAGTTGCATTCCCAGTCTTGGCCACTGGAGGGCGCGCCTGCCCAGGCCACAGCTGAGGGACACCTGGTGGGGCCAGGCCAGGCCAGGGGGACTCTGCATCACCAGCAGGAACACAGGTTCTTAAATGTGGGCAAGAACTGGAAGTGGAGGTTGCCCCAAACCCTCCCAAACAGCGCTATCCTCAAACGGAGGGAGGATTCCCAGGCAGGCCTCCCACTCCTGCCTGTTATTCTGGAAACCAGCACAACAGGGCAGAAATCACAATAATAAAATAATCACTGCAACTAACACTTGCGGCTCACAGTAGGGCACACTATGCCTTATCTGTGACCACCTTAATCCCCCCATGAACTGTGAGGTGGGGCCGGCAACCGCCCCCATTTACAGAAACCAACCAGAGAAGTTTGGCGACCTGCTCAAGGCCAGCTGGCCAGAACTTGAACTTGGAGAGTCTGACCTTCCAGCTCGCTCTCTCACCCCAGAAGTGCTGCCCAGAACTAGGGAACTGAGTTCAGAAGCCTCCCGACCCCCACTTCTTGCTATGTGGCTGCAGGCCAGACTGCCTCTGGGTCTCAGTTTCCCCCTCTGAGGAGCCTGACAGATTATGCCTGACTTCTCCGGGAGGCGGCTCCGGGGGATGCCCCCACGCACCCCCACAGATGAGGCAGATGGCGCTGAGCAGCCCGGTCTCCGCGTCGTCCATCTCCAGGGGCAGCAGCTGGTTGGCAAAGGCAAAGACCAGGTCGGTGAGGGGGCCGAAGCCAGCGTTGTGCATCTGGGTCCGGTTCAGGGTCAGCCCATCCGAGAAGGTCATCGTGTCCTGCTCGGGTGTGTACCGCGTGCAGATCCGCAGGATCTGGGTGCAGAGGACACAGGGGTTCAGGGCCCGGGGCTCTACCCACCCCCAGCACACAGGCTCTAGCAACCCGAGGACCACTTGGCAGGCAGCCGGCAAAGCCACCCGAGAGCGTTCTCTGCAGTGACGAGAAGGTTCCACGTCCTCACGGCCAGCGCGGCAGCCACCAGCACCACAGGCCACTGAGGACTGGGAATGTGCTCCCGCGGTCTGGTCAAGAGACGGAACGGAGTTTAATTAGGCACACGAGGTGGGTGGTGGCTACCGTGCTGGGCGGTGCAGGTCCAGGTTCTCTGCCTTCACGCACAGAAGGCAGAGGGAAAACGCAATCCCAGGATGCAAACAATGTGGGAGGCATGCCTGCAGTCCCCAGGACGGAGCGCGCCACGCCAGCCGGAACGGTGCACATCTGGTTGCACTGCCCAACCCCGACGTGCCTCCTGCGTCTGCGCATGGGGGTGGGGCAGCACACCATACCTGCCCCATCGCCCTCTTACGGTTCAGCCAGGCATCCCGAAGAGAAGGGAGCAGCAACCCCAGGCCCCTCACACTGGAGGTGGCCGGGCTAATGGACTGAGCCCTCGTCAGGGACGACACGGAGTACTCATCCAGTCTCAGCCTCGGCAGTTCCCAGCGCCCCTCCCCAGGCCCTACTCTCCACCTCCCATCCCCACATCCTGTCTCCAGCTCTGTCCACCCTGGGACCCCACCTTGCCGTCCCCTGAATCCAGCACGATCTCACAGCAGCAGGCCTTTCACCTCCTGCTCCTAAGGTGGGGCAGATGAGGCCTCTCACCCACCCCTTCTGTAAGCCATAGACGCTACCCCCTCTGGGATCTCTCCCTGAGGCCCCGGCAGCCGCGGCTCCGTCTGCCCTGTTCAGCCAAGGCTTATCGCGAAGACAGAAGTGTATACTACCCTCTATGATAAAAGATGATAAAAAGATGAGTTACATAAAGCAGGAAGAAATACCAAAACAACAACAAAAGGCAGTGATCACCTCTATCTGAAGAGACAAATGTCAAATGTGAGCTGATCATTGGCCATCCCCAGCCAGTGCTTATCGCAGTCTCGCAGCCTCTGCTGACCTATACGCTGCCTCCCACACAGAAGGCTTCAGGTGAGGCGTGGTGTGTTCACCTCTGGGTTCCTGGCACCGGCTCGAGGACTGGCCCCTGAAGTCCAAGGTGAGCCTTTATTACAGACTAAATGGACGGGAGCGTGGAGCACGGCCGCCCGAGCGTGAGCGCAGGGCCCCCGTGCACATCTCGGTGCAGTGGCAAAAGGGGCGGGTGGTGAGTGGACAGGGTGGGCGATTCCAGGACATTGGGAAGGCAGCCGTCAGGTGAGAGGACACCATCCGAGAGCACAGGGTAGTGCCCGTGGCAGGGCGCAGACCCTCACCAGGATGTCCAGGCAGGCAGCCTTGAGGAGGGTGATCTGGTCGGCAATGGTGAGGGTGGTGAAGCCGGGCAGCTGCTTGGCAAACTCCACGGTCTTAATGATGCACTTGGTGGAGAGTTCACTGAACTTGTCCCAGAGGTCAATGTCCAGAGAAACACGTTGTTCCGAGCTGTTGTTCTGGAGGAGGGGAAGAGTAAGGGCCCCTCCTCTGTGGCAGCCCACAGGCCTACCCTCTTAGCCCAAACTTCCTGAGAACTCGGTGGGGCAAGGCAGCTGGGGGCAGGGGGCAGGAGGACGCCAAGGCCCAGCAGGGAGGGAGGGACAGCCTGGTAGAGGCAGAGGGGTGCCCGCCGCAGGCCAGGGAGAGCCGTACCGTAGTGTATTTGCCCAGCTGGCAGAGGGCAGGGAAGGTCTCCTGGTGCGCTTTGCGCACCTTCTCAATGAGCTCCCCGACCTCCGGCGTCAGCGTGTAGCTCTCAGAGCACTCGGGCTTGGGCACCTCCTTTTTCTTCTTGTTTCGGTCGTTCCTCACAGCTGTGGAGGGCAGAGGGATGAGTCAGAGGGCATCTGTAGGCAGCGGTCCACTCCCAGGCCTCAGGTCCACCCCAGCTCTTCCCAGCAGACGGAGCTGACAGCTGCTAAAGACGTCGCCCCAGCCAGTACACACAAGCACACTGCACACACACAGCTAGGCATGGCATGCACATGTGCACACACACGCTGCATACCCACGCCACATGCATGCACTTGCACGTACATAAGCAAGGCGTCAGCCCTCATGGCCACCCAACCCACACAGCAAGTCCAGCCCCAGAGGTCCCATAACACAGCTCTGGCAGCACCCACACACATGCACTTGCACACTCCGTGGTCAGCGTGGTGCCCTGCCCCCGCCCCCACGCATCTACTCCTGCCCACATTCCAGGTGTGCGTGTCCTGGGCTGGGAGCGTGCAGAGCTGGCCTCCCTCCTCGGTCTCCCTCCTCTGTGCTCAGCCTCTCCTGCCCCCCCTCACCCCAGCCCTCCTAACAGCAGTCTCCCTGGGGGTCCCTGGGACTGGCTTGGAGCAGGCAGGGAATAGGGCTCCCCAGCAGAGAGTAGGGGGCCAGGCGGGTAGAATCTCTCGGCCCATTAGCCGGGGAGCTGACAAATCACCGGGGGCGCTGA